CACTCTTTCAGTTGAGCTGCTGCTGCAGCAAGACAGCAGCAACCCTCGCCGCTACGAGGTGTCTGTGGAGGTCCTCGACGCGCAGCTGCCGGGCGAGGAGCAGCAGCAGCAGCTAGAGCAGCAGCAGCAGCACGAGCAGCGGCAAGAGCAGCAGCACTATGGGTAGTGCTGCAGCAGCAGCAGCGCAGCACTGCCACACCCGTCAGCACAGCAGCTGCAGGGGTACCAGGTGGCAGCAAGCAAATGCAGCAGCAACAGCAGCAGTTGCTGCTGCTGTGCTGCAGCAGCAGCAGCAGCAGCAACTGTCTTGAAACATAGAGACCTAAGGGTCGTCTTCGTTTTTTCTCCGGCCTACAGACGCCAAACCCTAAACCCTAAACCCTAATTGCCATTTGTTAGCGGACTTGACAAACAAACGCCTGCGGCGCACGCAGGTGAAGTTCGCCGCAGAAGGTGCTGCTGCTGTTGCTGCTGCAGCAGCTGCTGCTTCTGCAGCTGCTGCTTCTGGAGCTGCTGCGCTGCTGCTGCTGCAGCCGCAGCTGCAGCGGCGAACGCCGTGCTGCATATACGAGCAAAACAAACCCTAAACCCTAAACTTCGCCACTGCAGCAGCAGCACCAAGAGCAGCAGCAGCAAGAGCAGCCGCAGCAAGAGCAGCAGCAGCAAGAGCAGCAACAGCAAGAGCAGTAGCAGCAAGCGCATTTCCTAAAATATTTTGGAGAGTTTATTAGCTTTCTTGGTGGGCAGCATCCTCTCTAGCATCTTTTGCTGCTGCTGCAGCTGCCGCTGCTGCTGCTGCAGCTGCGCGTGCTGCTGCTGGTAGTGCTCATGAACTCTGTGTCCCTCTGTGGCAGTTCCCTGGTGCCTTCGGCAGTTTGCTGCTGCTGCTGCTAGCTGCTGCTGCACTTGCTGCTGCTGCTGCTGCAGCTGCAGCAGCTCTCGCCGCATCTGCTGCTCGTCCGCTTTCTTGTACTTGCGGTGGAGCTGCTGCTGCAGTTCCAGGTCCTGCTGCTGCTGCTGCTTTTCCTTCTCGTCAGCAGCAGCAGCAGAAGCAGCAGCTCCAGCAGCCTGGCTACACCCGCGAATCAATCGGAAGGCCCCGTCGCCCTCCTCTGCAGCAGCAGCAGCAGCCGCTGCTGCTGCTGCCTTTGCTGCTGCTGCTCGCTTTACGCGGGGACAACGAATGTAGTCCAGGGAATAACCTGTAGGCAGTATCCTGCAGCAGCAGCAACAGCAGCAGAAGTAGCAGCAGCAAACGAGTGAGAGCAGCGGAGTAAGCGGAGCGCAAAGAGCAGCAGCAGCAACAGCAGCAGCGGCAGCAGAAGGAACTCAGCAGCTGCAGCAGAAGGAGTTCAGCAGCAGCAGGGCAGCAGCAGCAAAACGACTCACTCAATAGGCAGCGGATTCAGCAGCACTGTTTCCTGCTCTCCGGGCTTCCGCAGCTGCTGCTGCTGCTCCCCCAGCTCCCCCTGCTGCTGCTGCTGCTGCTGCTGCTGCTGCTGCTGCCGCTGCCTCTT